TATTTGACATTTTTGTTACATGTATTTATTTCTACATATTTGTGTGTGTTTTTCAAACAGAGGGCCAGGAGGTGAAGGTCGGCGAGTACAACGCAATCGCCGATGTGTTGGACCTCATCAACAACTCCATCAGGTTCCAAGGTATGAGGAAAGCTCGGCATTCGTGTATGTGACTGCATTTGTGTGTGACTGTATGTGTGCTTACTGAGGGGTGTAAAACTCACCGAAGAAGAAAAAGGTGGCGTGGTTTATATATATATATATATATATATATATGTGTGTATGTATGTATGTATGTATTAAAGGCCCACAACTTACCACCTTAGCTCTCTCCTCTTTAGTTGTTCACTTGAAACCAAACTCCCTCCAGCACACATAAATACTCAGACACACTCAGACAACACCACCACTCTGTGTAGGGACTCACCACTCTAAACTGTCCTCTCGCAGCTAAATTATTTACCAGTCCATTTTTCACCCCTCCCGTGTTTGCCTGTGTTGACATACTTTGTAATTGGTTTGATCCTCCTGGCTATTCTCCCCTTCGCCGCTCTTTCTCCATCTCCTCGGCCCTTGCCCCACATACTGAAACTCTACGACTATACCATCTAAAAAGCTTGTTTCCACATCCCTGACCACAGTAAGTGGAGATGTGTAAGATGATTCCATTGCGATCGATTGGCACACTGGTGGGAGAAAAATAGAGCAAAGGATAAGAAAGTGCAGGGTCTAACCGCAATAACTTGACTGTGGTGCATAGAGAAACATACACTCAACTCGGGGGGAAACTGAGGACCAGAAAATGGATCTTAAATAACTGGATGTCTGCTACAGTGTCACTATTTTGTGGGTGACGAGAAAACGATTTGAAGGAGGAGGGTCTGAAGTTGTCAAAGTGAGGAGAAAGTAAAAATGTCTAGACCATACGTCCACTGGGCATGTGCTTTTAGATAAAATAATACACCACGAAAACAACATTTGAGTAAGCAATTTCGATGTTATGTTATGCTTGAGACTCACTTGTGGGGTTTTTTTGTGTCGCATCTCTTCACTCTCGAAGGTGTGGAGCCTCCCAAAGATCGAACGTTTGTGCGTCTGCAGCGGCGCCACATAAACGTGCCCCTCTACAGCATCCTGTCCACCATCACCATACTGGGCATGCTCATGGCCGGGGCCTTCCTTTTCTTCAACATCAAGAACCGAAACCACAGGTCAGCATGGATTATGACAATTACTATTAGTGAAGCTTTGGCTGTAAATGCGAAGGTGAAATGCGTAAATGTAGAGAGCAGGGGGACGCTAAATTAGGGGTTGATGTCAAGGGAGACGTTGTGGGCGTATAACAGAAGGAAAGAGGAGTCTGGGGGGAACCAGGAGGATTTGAAATGAAAGAATGATGAAGCATGAGAATAACGATTAACCTTTATATGTCTGCAGATATATAAAGAGTGAAATGTGAGATAATAATATAAGGCTTTATTCTATTATTGTTCTCAATCTATTCTAATAGAATCTTTCATTTTTCTCCTTCAGACTAATCAAGATGTCCAGCCCCTACATGAATAACCTGATCATCTTGGGAGGCATGCTCTCCTATGCCTCTATCTTCCTGTTTGGTTTGGATGGAGGTTTTGTTTCTGACAAAGAGTTTGAGACCCTTTGCACTGTAAGTTCCCTTAAAAAAAAACTCTCTGTTTAATAAATAATGGCTTGAATTTTGCTTGCCAGTTTGGGGGAAAGGGGGTTAGCTCTTCTCAATATACAGAATATGAAATTAATTCTACGTCATGTTTTGATTTCTCTTACTTCATACAGTGCCTACAAACAGCATCCAGTCTTTACTGCTTTTCAACATTATATCATGATCATTTTAATTAGGCTTTTTAACCAAAAGATCTCAAGGCCTTACAAGCTTCAGCAGCTCAGATAGAAGAGACAACTGGATGAAGGTCCTTTGGTCTGATGAGATTTTTTCTTGACACTCCCCCATAGAGGCTTTGATTGTTCAAGAACCCAGGTAACAGTTGTTGTATGGACAGTCTCCCCTATCTGAGTTTCTGGAGCTTGTAACTCCCTTAGAGGAGTCCTAGATGTCTTGGTGGCCTCCCTCCCTTGTCTCTTTCTTGCACTTCCGATTGAGGATGGCCTGCTCGAGGCAGATTTAAGCATGTGCCATATTCCTTCCATTTATTAACCCTTTATTGGACAATGAACCATATATGTGACCCATCTGCATGAAATCAGTCGCATTGCGCCTTGGGTTATATCCGAGATACAGCTCGAACTACGTCAACACACGATGAAGTATTGATTTTGGGTTTATTACTTAGATCGGTCCATTTAGTTGTTGTCTACATGTAGGTAACGTATAGTATTACAGAGCGTAATAATATTACATCCATATCGCTGTCAAATACTGTCAGCGTGCATGAGCGGTAACACCAGAAAGAAGCCATGGAAATCACTTGTGCGCAGGCGCCGCGAGCAATGTGTCATTGCCAGCCAGTGCCGTGATTTGCGTCATGTGGTAGCAACATGCCGCTCTTGTTTACGCATAACAGCCCAAGGCGCAATGCGACTGACTTGGTGCAGATGGGTCACATATGGTAACTTCCGCAGGCTTCATAAATGGCAGGGGGCAGTGTTATAAATTACTCTGATTGGTGATTTGGAAATAAATGTTCCTTCATCTTTATATGTGTATTTTTTACAGTAATTTATCCACATATTACCCTAGGTGGGTGAAGAACTGTAACTGCTTTGACTTTGATTTGCAGTCTAAATCACAAACTTTAAAAAAAATCAACAAAGAAAAATATCCTCTCATATCCACCAATAACACTCCAGGGTCGTTTTAAATTTCCAAGTATTTCAATGAGTGCCCTATGAAGGGTTAATGATGGCTTAGCTAAACCCTATGAGATATTTGGAGATTTGAAGATTTTCTTGATATCCATCCCCTGACTTATGCTTTTTCATAACCTTCTCACAGAGTTTGAAGTGCTGTTTTGTTTTCGTGGTGTAGTTATATCCAGGAGTACTGATTCACCAGCGACTAGGCCTGCCACATACAGGTTCCTTTATACTGCAATCACTTGAGACACATTCACTGCACTCAGGTGATCTATTTCACTAACTGTGTGTCTTCTAGCACCAGTTAGCTGCATCTATGCTGAATAAGGTGACTTATTTTTGTTATATATTTTTTAATTAATTGATGTTACTATCCAATAATCTGTTTTCACTTTGACATGAAAGATTCTTTTTCGGTAAATTCGTATCAGAAAAATTAAATTGACCATGTTGAAAAACAAATAATGAAGAAAACTTTCAAGAGGGGTTAATACTTTTTATCGGCACTGCATGTGTAAAATTTGCTAATATGTGGAGAAAACTACCTTTGGACTAATCACATGCACTAAAGTAACCAAGTGAGAACTGGCTGAATCTCTCTGAGTGTCTCGAGCTAGCACAGAGCACATTAAGTCTCTCCCCCCAGGTAGCATTACTGTGTGACTATGCAGATACTGGATTAATTAAAGAGTTTTGATTACGGTGATAACTGGTTTCCACTGAGATACAGAGACACACACACACACACACGTGCACGCTAGAGCAGTGTTACTCAGGGCACGTCTTGAGCTGCCGTCACCTGGTTAAAAGGCTGCAGAGTCAAAACAGACCTCGTCGCTCCAGATGAGGTTCCACAGCAAAGGAGTACAGAGGTTGAGCCATGCGCACCCAATCAATATGTGCTGGTCTCCTTGGGAACAGATGGTGTAATTGTCTTTCACTGTCTTGTTTACCAAGTGGTTTGCCTGGTTTTTGTTGCTTTCTATATGGTAAAGATCGGTATGTAAAGAGAGTCCTGTTGATGTGTAGATGTAGACAGTATATGTGGTGCAGAACAGACAACAAACATTAAAAGAACACTCAAACACAGAGTCGCCAGAAGCACACAACTGTGCACACTCTGTAGCTATATTAGGATTTTCTCAGTTATATTTGAACTTTAAGCTGTTAAAACAAATCAGCAGTGTCCTTTGTACCAAAGAAGTACGAGGTCTACATTTTGTTTTTCATTAAGATGAAATGCTCTCAGGAGTGTGACAGCTTCATGGTCCAGGATGTTCTCCCAAAGCTCTGGGAGACGGAAAATAAATCTGACAGCTTCTTATTTTTAGAATGCTTCACAATGCTATTTTGAATGAACTTCTTGAGAAAAATGCAAATACCCGTCAGATCAGATGTTGTTTCGAGCCTTGATCACCAGTTTCCGACGTGACGCAACTATGTGTGTCCCTGTTCCTCCGATAGGTTCGGACGTGGATCCTCATTGTTGGATATACGACGGCGTTCGGCGCCATGTTTGCCAAGACCTGGAGGGTGCACGCCATCTTCAAAAATGTGAAGATGAAGAAGAAGGTATTGAAAAAAATGTTGGATATTTTGTAATCAATACGTGCGGGTAACTCGGAGCGATGGAAGGTTATTTCTATATCTCAAATATCTTTATTCCATCTCTTCTGGTTTGATCGCTTAAGCTCGGCACAGGCATTAGAGCTTCAAACACGCTCTCGAAAATGAGCTTTGATTTTTCACTCATGTTCAAATTTGTCAGTATTTATCTCTATATATCCCATATTTGGAACAAATCCGCTCACTTTTATGGATACATTTTCACACCATGTATACTTATTGGATCGGATACGTTCATATAACCACAAGCAACCCCACTGGCGCATGTAGACCTGACAGTCTTATCTAGAAGGCTTCACTTGCCTTTTGAAACCCCAACACTGGTGTGTGGGTGATTGTATTCAGACTTTTTAGCAAACACTGAAAGACTGGCAGCCCCTGGCACCTGCTTTTAGAGTCTTCACTGTGAGGGGGGGGGGAAGGAGAAAAAAAAAAAAAAGATCTAGCAATACAAATGGCTTTTTAAACATCTGACACAATCTGTTTCACTGGCCTAGTTATATAAAGTGGTGCCGAGCTCACTGAGTGTTGTAACTGTGCTTGGCCTTTTTGTATTTATAGACCTTGCTCTCCCCCTCTATTTCTCTCTCCCACCCTTTTGCATATTGGAAGAAGTGTGGGTGGCCTGCCAGAGAGAGAGAGAGAGAGAGAGAGAGAAAGCAGGAAGAGAAGGAGGAAAGAGAGATGGATCAAAGAGTGGAAGAGGTCGGAGGGATGTAGGGATGCAGTGGCAGAAGGGAGGGTGAAGAGACAGAAGGAGGAAGGCGAAAGAGGCCAGAGAAAGGGACAAGACAAACAATGTGGCCCAAATGGCAAAGAAAGTAGGTTGGACACTATGAAAAGAAAGGGGAAAAGGAGGGCAAATGACAGATTTAAACTAAAAAAAACATCCCAGATTACAGGTTAAAAGACAAGAAGCCATGACTGAGCTCTGCTTCAGTTTCTGCTGCACTTCTGGTCGAAACGAGATCGCAACACATTTATCAGCAAGTGCCCGATGCTGGACTTGGCCTTATATCAATTCCCCTAATTCAATGTCTTTTTCAAAGTGATCATTTAAGGAAAACAAAACAGTTTTGCCTCTCTGAGCTCAGCGCTGCCCTGACCTCTCACAGCCAATTATTTCGGCTCAGCTCTCCTCCTCTCACCCTCCTTCCCTCGCTAACAGAGGCAAAACAAATGTTTCTTCAGAAGCAGCATTCACCCCGACTGCATACTTCAGCCCTTAACCCTCGAGATGTATTCTCTGTTGGCTCAGGGCCTGGGTCTGTGTGCAAGACACACACACACACACACACACACACTCTCACTTCTTCCTCACTGATTGAGTGCAGGTGCTTTGGCTTCAGTAGAGTGATAGTTGGTGCCCTGAAAAGTCTGCCAACTGCTGTCAGGGGAGGGACAAACACAAGTGTTAGCCATCTTTTCTTCAAACTGTAGGAGTGGAACTGCATCCCCCTCACTCTTTCCCTTCTTCTCCTTCTTCTTCTTCTTCTTTTCTTGTACACTGGGAGAGCAGAGATTGTAAATCAAGAGTGGGTTCGATAAGGGTTCCACTCGGTGGGCTGCAGCCGGCGCTCCTTCACTTCTTGAAAAGCTCCGTGTCAGAGACAGCGCGATGGGAGGGGTCCGTCAATGTCCTCTTTCTACCAAAAAAAAAACACACAGCACGGATAAACTTACACGCTTAGAAAAATCTGCCAGTTCACAATCTCTCATCCTCTGGCCCTCGTAGCCTCGACTTGTCAGTCTGCCCGTCTTGATGTTTGCTCCATCAACTCATGGATACACACATGCGTACATAGTCAAACACACCTATAATCACTGTCTCGACACACACGCTGTCTGAAAATATGTAGAAACACGCTGCTGTTTCAGAACCCTCAGATTTGGCCTCGGCACTCATAAATTCATATTCTCACAGCAGAGATACAGCAGCTAACCCCCCGGCTTTGTTGGCTGACACCTCACAGTCAATGTATATTGACATTTTTTATTATTTTATAACCAATTCAGTTGAACAAGACAATATATACACATCTAGAGCTGAATGTCCTGATTGTCCTTGAGAAGACTAGTTTGACAAAAACTCACAGCTCAAGGTCTGTTTAAGAGCTCTTATTGAACCACATGTCGTGATTAGCAGATGTTTGTTTAGTTATGGAGGCTAGAGAGACGCTTTCTTTCCCTCTATTTCTATTCTCAGTCAAAGTTGTGTGCGCGTTTAGTGTTTGCAACTGGTTCGACTTTTTCTCAATCACATCTGTCACTAGAGGTACAGACACTGGAACCCAACTGATATGTCAGAGTGCCAACATTGATCGGGGAAAGAAAACAGATCGCACTTAAGGTAATTTACAGTCATTACATTGTTTGTATAGCAGAATCAGTTGGCAGAGTAACATATCGCAGTTAAGCAGATGGCGGTGTGGAGTTTTTTTTTAATTACATTTCTCAAACATATCACACATATTTTTTGCAGCTATTTGCTCGTCGGACTCATAGATTATTCATTTTATCAACCACGTTTTATCAGATGTCTGCCACGTAATGAACAGGCCTTTTTTTTGTCGCCCATCTTGATATCTGGTGTTTTTCGTAGCAGCCTTTTGACCCCTTCTACCTTCCTCTAAACTCTCCTGAAGCGATATTTCTACAAGAATTATTCCCCTCGTCTTGCTTTGCTTGTATTTGCCAACACCTTCAAAAGACAGCAGATTAAAAAAAATAGTCCCCTTAAGTATCTCATCCTGAACCCACTGCTGGATGGAGACCGGTGCAAGACCACTGAGTTGCATCTGGGCTATGTGATACTTTTCCAAACAGAGCCCAGCCTGTGTTCTCTGACCTTTTCTTTGATCTGCGGTTCCAGACAGTCAAACGCTATTATAAATAAAGATCACAAACAGGTCATGGCTTTCATCCCTCCAAAGTTCAGGGTACAAAAGAGAAGCTTTAGTGGCTGACAGAGTTGGCTCTTGTTTGGTGGATCTTTTCCACATTCTCTCACCACAAGGTAACAAAATCACTGCTTGTTGGTAGTATTGACAGAGCTGAATGACCACCGGTGGTTGGCAGCTCCGGGCCGATGAAGCACAATTTATAAAATGTACTACATGTGCTGACAGCGACAAAAAGTGTCGGTATCGAAACCTGAACCAGTTCTTTGTCTTTCAGACTCCCAATTTGGCTGGTTTCCCATCCTAGTAGGTGGTTAATTGCAGTTAAATGCATTGTTATCAGCCCCTGATTAGATGGTTGGAATGAAAGCAGCAGGGGTCTGCGTCCTGAGATGGGATGAGAATCACTTGGTTCAGATAATTACAGTGGTCAATAAGAAATGTTGTTCGAAATGACTCTACAGACACACATATTATTACATAACATTAGCAGGTGTTGGCTCTTTGGCTAATACAAGCATCTCATCCTCTCTTCCCTCTCCAGATCATAAAGGACCAGAAGCTGTTGATTATCGTTGGCGGGATGCTGCTAATCGACTTATGCATCCTCATCTGCTGGCAGATTGTGGACCCGCTTAAGAGGACTGTGGAAGAATACAGCCTGGAGGTCAGTTTGCATTTGATGTTTTCCTCATCTTGACTAAACTCGCGCTCATTTATGGTATTATTTATGTTGATGCAACACGGCTTGACTCAGCTGGGAAGATTCTGGTGACACATATTCTTGCTAAAAATGCCCGGGTAGTTGGAGTTTAGGCAAACAAAATATCTGCCATAGGCTGCAGTGTGAGCATCTTTGTTGTGCTTGTTATTTTTGGGTCAGGATGTGAGCCATTGCTGCCTCCTGTGCTCATCCCATTGCCGGACGATTGCCAGCTTGGATGGGAGTCATTGGCAAGGCCCACTGGAAAAGAGGCACTTGGCATCACTTTCTTTTTGCCTGAGAGGTGGCGTGGTGTAGAGTAAAAATTAACTCTGCTATACTGTGACTGGTGAAAGTATACTGAGATGCTCTGAGATTGGTACAGGATTAGTCTAGCTTTGTGCCCAATTGGCTCAAATGAACATACTGTAGCTTTGGCATTAGAGGTTAATGGGGTGTGAAGTGTGTTTTCACTTAGGCATGACATATTAGCACATAACTCAGTGGTATTAAGGGAATCCAGGCTGTAAATTAGCAGGGCACAGCTCCATATTTGTTTACTCAGAAGTATTAGTCGCTTTGGTTAAAGTGACAGAATGAATTTGTGTTGTTTCCTTATTTCTGTGGACTAAAGTATTACGCAGTGTGGCTTCTTTGTTTGGTACATCTGTCTTTCTGTGGCTACAGCTTAGCAACTTAACATTCAACCCCCTTTTAACAACAAAAAAAAAGACAGAAAACCTGAAAGCATTTTGCTCCTTGGAATCTTACAGGAAAAACAGTGTGCAGCACATAGCGATGCTTTCAATAGGGATTACAAAAAAAGTAAGGAACCACTATTTTGCTGTGTGCGAACTCTTAGTATGCAATGAGGAAGTAGTGATGGTTTACACAATTCAGATGGTGACGCTTTCACATGACCGTTCAGAAAGAGATGATGCCTTTTAACATACAGCGGGAGAATTCTCTCTGTCTTTATTCGTTTCGCTGAGTGTTAATGGGTTAACACTGATGTGTCCAGTAGACTGCTTAAGGACATCGGGTTAAATACTTGAGTCAGGGAGATTTAGAGCAGTGTGTATTAAAAGAACATTGAGTCTTGTGGGTTTTTTTTTTATTTTGCTTTTCAGTTCATGCTGTTTTATATGCAGTTAAAATTTCCGCTGCTTTAACATAAGAGATTGCGCGACTCCTCAGTCTATGAAGTTGTTGCACAAAAAGATGGACTTGCAGGTCAAGGCCAAGGGAAACAGTGTGATGGTAAAATGGATTACAGAGCTGGTACAGTGAGATGAATGCGGGACCAGTGTGTGTACGTAATAATAAATTGTCAATGAAGCTCACAACAGCTGTGGTTTTGTTCTAAAATGCTAGTCAGGAAATACAAAGAGAAGACAGTTTAATATAGTAAAGCCTCTGATGAGATTTGTTTTTACCTCATCTGGGGTGCAGCCAAGGCGTCGGTATATTTTCAGCACCAATTGTTTGTCTGTCTTTGTTTCTGGACAAATTTCATGAAACTTGGTGAAGAGGTGGACCACTGACAAAAAAAAAACCCATTACATTTCCTCGCAGGTTTGGATAACTTATTTTAAAATGAGTAGATAGGGCATTGGCCTTGGAGGATTTTGAAACTGCTCTTCTAGTTTACCTGTTGATAGCATAGTGTAGATCTATTACACTGGGTATGCTGAAGAAACATAACTCCCATTATGTGCTCAGTGGAGATTATGTTTACTTTCGTGTTGCTGCTAACAGCTGACAAGCAGGAACAATTATTCCACAGCAGCTCTGATTAAATCATCTGTTTTCAAAGACCACAGACCCATGGATACTACTAAGTGGAGATTTTCCCTAATGAGTTGTCTTTCAAGTCCCCCAGACTTGTGTATGTAGGCCGTGAGACGGCTAACTGCCTCCCAGGAGCCCAGAGTCCTTGCATATTGACAGCATTGGTTGGATTCCCATTGACCCTCCTGTTACACAGAGGTTATCAGAAGTTCAGTGCAGTGGATGGTAAGGTCTGTGGGTGGATTTTTATGGAGACTTCCTTTGATCATCCTGAATGGATTTATTTATTTTTTTATTGTTTGCTGCTTGTTGCCAAGGTCCTGTGGGGGAAAGACGGGTGACTGATGCTATTTTATATCCATTTTTATGTCTTCAATGAAATGAAAATCTTGTCAGCTGCTAAATCAAATCAAATCAAAAGTCAAATCAAATCAAGTTTATTGTCATTTTGCTGTACATACACAGTAGTACAGGCAAGATGAGAGAGCGTTTCTTCAGGATCATTTAATTAGTCGGTTCTGTGGAATGCACGTCTGGGATAGACACTAAATGTTCACTCTCGCTGTCTTCTGAAGGTAAAACAGTCATTATATACTGTAAGAGTAGCAGGTCAGTTTTCCAGAGTGTTGTTCTTTCCTGGTTCTTGATGAAAAGATTCCTGTCGGAGATCTCTGAGGAGGAACTGTATGAAACTTTGCCAGGCTTATTTACATTCCTGTGCTTCTTTTGGTGTACTCCGAAGGTACGCTTAGCACAATCGTACAACTCTAGACAAAGCCGAATTTCCTTTGTGATGATAGCCACTTATATATTTAAGCCTACCTAAAGGGTGCAGCAAAGCCTTGCTTAACATATTCATTTGTGAATGTTGTCAGTGTGTGCAGTCGGGTCCTTGTAGAGTATTCTCAGACTCTAAGCCCTCGGCCAGGGGAGTGTTGCGAATATATAAACCACTCAGTGTAGGAGTCTGCATTCCCCCTGGGGTTGTGGATCTGCATGCCTGGGCTGAGGCATAGGCTCCACATGCCTGCCCGGCCCGCCAGATTTCCAGCACCAGCAGCAGTGGACCCTTGGGGCTCAGCTGGGGGAGAGGTAGCCTGGAGCTCCTCTGTGCCCAGGGCCCCCATGCCTGTCAGGTGGGACCAGAAACCAGAAGGCAACCCAAATACCCAGAAAAAGGGGTAAGGAGGAGAGAGAGGCTAGGGTGGGGAAAAAAAGCAGTACACTCAAACACTGCATTTATGGTAATGAAGAATGTAGGGCACTTTAGAGACGAACTGGTAAATGCAGTACATTGCAGTATAACTAGAGACAGATGAGAGCAAGCCACCTTTAGACCTACATAGGCACTGCATTAAACAACACCGCCGCCACGCCAGTTCAGCGATGCTGCTGTGTAGCCACCACCACTGATGCACAAGGATGCGGCAAAGTAAAGATAAAAACAAGTCAAACAAGTCACCAAATTAATCAAACTGGCCTCACTGGACCATATGTGACCACTATTCCCCATTGTGTTTTTTTAACACCTTGTTCTTTTTGATCAGAAACCTGCTTAGCGTGTGTGGAACGGGACCATGGTGGTTGGTCTCCACAGGACTAAGGAGCCAGTGAGACCAGCTCTGACTGACTTACAGTAATTGGCACAAGGAGAAGGACCATTAGTTACCCAGTTTCCTGTGAGCGATCACATCATACTAGGCCAACATTCCCCTGCGAATTTACTCTGGCTTTTTTTTTTTTTTCCCCTTATTGTCTCCCTCTCTCTATATTTGTCAGAATTTGCCCCACTCCACCCTCACATATCCTCACAGTGGAGAATAGGGAGTTGACCTTGGGTTCACAAAGCTGAATCTACCTCCTGCACCCAAGGGTATGCGGTATGACAATGCAGCGTTACTGAACTGCCACAGTGCCAGCTACTCCACCACATTTATTATATGAACCATCTCACAGGAGGGTTCCCTTATTGACTCAGAAGCGACATGGACACTTACACAGTGTTTACAGGGATGGCGGTTGCTTTTTTTGGCCACTCAGGAAGCATCAGTGAAAGTGTGTTTGCGTGGTCACAGACGCAGGCATGTCTAAATATTGTAAGTGGCTGTAGTTGAGGTTCTGGGTTAAATGATCTTTCTCATTACCTCCAGCCAAGATTTACCCAATAGAAACATGGACAAAGTCAATCCTGCATGGGTAATCCCACTGCTCGGAGGCCAGCAAACTAAGCTTAATGAACTACCGTTAGCAAAACTAGGGCATTCCCCTTTGCATCCTTTATTAGCATTAACAATAAGATGAAACTGAAGAGGCTGACAATAGATCCTTGTGGAATGCTTCATAAAACAGGACTAATTTAATACCCTCCCAAATAAAAGTAAAGAAGGGCCAGAGATCATGTGGGGAGCTAAGTCTTTGAGTTTCTCAAATGAGAAGAGGGTGACCCTGAGTCTTATTTTATGGCTACACTTCAAGCCTGCACTTTTAATTACAGTATGCAGATGATGTGCCTTCGCCAGAAATGACTTGTGACCTTGACATTGTCCCGAGCATCTTTAAACCGAGCCTGGCCTCTGATCTGAGTGTGTACTGTACATGAAACACAACCTTATATGCTGAGTTAAATAAAAATGTCAATCAGATTTAATAGAATTAGGCCAAGATGATAATTGCGGCTCTCCCTCTGAACCGACTGACCTCAGACTCGTAACATCACAGAGACAATATTCTGATTGTCAGTGTCTTTCATTTCCAGAGAGCTTACTGAAAGCAGGAATCATTCTGACTGCTCCAGGAACATCCCGGGAATGTTGATGGAATTGTTTGGCTGCAGTGAGCAATTAGATCAATTTTGTGGCTCGTTAACAATTGAGCAATTGTTAGAGGCGATTCAACAGCAGGACTGCCATCAGATTAAATCCTGCAGCACCGACACATGTCGTAAAGTCAACGTACACGTGGGGAATGCAGCCATTCATGCATGGGAATGGTTGTGTACGTATGTCTGTGTGTTTACGTGCACATTATCGTCCCTCTCTTCTGGTCCTGGGCATTGTCTCCTGCATAATGAAGGACAAACTGTCGAGAAAGGATGATTAGCATTCTGGTGAATCCTGCCGCAGACCCCCACTACTCTAGTCTCTCCTCTTGTCTCCTCTTTCTTCCCCCTCCCT